GCCCTTTACCTTCATGTGCAGTCCTGTGGAAAAACACTCGGCATGTCGGAGCGATCGAAAAGCTTGCGGTTGCTCGGCGCGAGCTTCCCCTCCCGTTACTGAAAAATGAAATTAGAGTGTCAGGAAGTGATGATTTACCAGCCGGTGAGAGCTGCAGTCAAACCACCGGGGACGGAGATGCACAGCCTCACCTTTAAAACACTCACAGGGCAGATCTGAGTGCAGTTTTCAGTGATGAGTCCATCACTGATGACTTTGTTCACTTACTGGATTCTTGAATATTGACCAGCTCTCATATGTTGGTGTAACAGCCTCTGCAGTGACTTCACCTCAGCGTCATACTAAGCAGGTGTGAGGGCGTTTGGTAATCCGCCTGCAGATGAAAATTTGACCAACTGTTCCCACCTTTACACACCTGCAGGTATCACTGCTGTGCTTCCAGCCAGGTGTTTCTCACACACAGACTTGTGTTTCCAGATATACTTTGTGACCGCCGCTTCGCTCGTTTCCCTTCGGGCAGGCTGCTCAGCTCGCCGCTGCGACGGTCTTCAGTATCGTTCAGCTGCGAGCTCAAACTGCCGACATCCTGAAATATGCACGAAAGCTTCGACTCCTGGATCAAGGGTTGAGATGAACACAGCAGAGCCTTTGGTCATCGAGACCTGTGTAGAGGAGGTAAAAGTCATTAAGGTTTCTGCAGGTGACCCTGTGGGAGGAGTGTTAACCTTTCCAGCAGCCCTTTGAATCGGTCTCCCTGTGGATGTTGCCCCTTTTTACCCCCCCTGCACCTCCCGCCTCCCACAGACGGTGCTTACAGTCAAAAACAGTCTTTGTCATTTCTTTCTGTCCTTTAAATGATACGTAAAAGTTCATGAGTCGCTGTGAATGCAGTCAGAAGTCAGTTATCACATCAGCTGTCCCCTTGCACCTGTCTCACAGTGACACCTGTGGGCGGGGGCGTGTTTAAAAGCGGGGCGGAGCCGAGTGCCTGCCTCCAGGCTAGTTTGAGCTCAGTGTGAGCGGTCAGCTGAGGGGAGAGGAGATGCTCTGACTGGTGGGTCTGTCACAGTAACACACGGAGCGTTTAGATCACATCAACAAAATCCTCATTTCCGTCACCTGTCACAGCTTCTCACAGCTGCCTCCATTTTGGATCCAGTTTCTCACATCCATCGAGCTCCTGTGCTAACAGGCGTAGCTTTCGTGTCTGCTGGTTGTTATGATGAAAAAATACCTGCAGGTAGTGTCGGCAGCTGCTCCGCTACAGCCGGCCGGCGCCGACAGTTCACGGTTAAAACGAGCAGCGTCAACAGCGATGACCGAATCTGTCAGCTGCAGCGTTTTCATGGTAATTAGTCTGCTGGTTAAGATCGTGTGTGAGTGAAGAGGCATCACGCTGCATCATCTCGCTGCTTCTGTAGCTCGCTGCGATACAGCACTGACACTTTCCTGCAGCGGATCGATTCCTGCAGGACATTAAGCTCATTATCTGGATCAAGCTGCAAAAGTCAGTGGCTTCCAGCTGCTGTTTCACTCAGTTTCAGTCCGTAATCGAGCGCTCGGCTCCTTCTCAGGTTGCAGCAGCAGGATGTGGACCTGTTCCTTATTTCCTGTCGTTTCTCTGCTGCTCCGATGGATGTTCATCTGAAACATGGACAGAGTTTCAAACACTGACGTCAGATGTCGTGTTTACGAGGGGCACCCAGTCAGGAGAAATTTGCCACCAAGCCCTATTATAAGATAAAGAAGGATTGTTTTGGACTATGAGTCATGCAAAGCTACCCTAGCAGAATCAGAGAGTAGAAACAGGGAGATGGAAACGAGTTCTTTTTAAATTAGCTAATGTGAATGTTCAGGAGATGCTAGCCCACTCAGCAATCATTCATTCGCTGGTCAGTTTGCAGGCTGTCGATGGTTTGCAGGAAATGAGACGTGAAACATCGTGTCCAGGACAACGTCTACGAAATCTGACATTTTACATTTAAACATGGAAGTCTATGGAGACTGACTCAGTTGGAGTCAGGCCTCTAGTGGATGATAGAGGAACTGCAGCAGGTTTAAGTCTCCATGAAATAACCAGAAATATATTTGAGCTTTGGCTGCAGGTCCTTGCAGATTTCTCTGAAATGTGGTTTGATTTTGATGGACTGTTGATTAAACTGTTCCAGGAAACTTAGAAAGCGCGTACACGAACGAAAGCAGAAGGATCTTTTTGAATAAATTGATGAACGATCGGCCCTGGATGGCCTGAAGTACAGCTGAGTCCTCTCACAAACGAGCCACCCTCCTCCACTGTGTGGGAGATGAACATAAAAGGCAGAAGATGCTGAGCTCAGCGTGCGCCAGCCCCTCCCTGTCTGATGTTTTATGGCCAGTGCGTCTCCATCATTCCCAGCAGCGCTCGGCTCTCCGTTTTAAACAGAAAGCTGGAAGTGGAACAGCAACAACATCTGAGCCAGTTTATGATCGTTTTACAAAAGCTTTTTCCAAAGCTTCACATTCAGCGTGGAAAGTTACTGGACGCTCGCTGCATCATGCACGCTCTTTAAGCAGCTCCCGAGGAGCAGAGGCCAGGACATGGAAGCAGAAGTCCGAGGGCATCGGGAGGAAAAGCAAAATCACAAACAGGAAGTCACTTAAACCTCATTTTGAAACAGCTGCAGCTGAAATGTAAAAACATTCGTGTTTAGAGGTCTTTACCTCTGTGAGGATTTTCTGTCTGACAAAGCAAACATATTCACCTTGGCTGTCTGTGATTGGTTGGCTGTTCTTATTTATTGACATTTTATTTTGAAAATTTTGTATTCTAAATGGGAAGAGTTGGGACCACATTGTTCAGTTCGACAGACTTGCTGCTGGTGTGTTGTTATGACTTTACACACTGTTAAATAATGACATCAGACTGGTGCAGGAACTTTTGCACATCACACTAAAGGCCTCTTTTCCTACACCATGTTCAGACTCGGCTCAGAAACAGTTGGAAACCCCTTTACGCCTCCTAAGGTTGGGTGATTGGATGAATCTGTCAGCTCTTGGTATTGAGTTTTGGGCAGTTTGTGTTGTAGTACTTTGCTCATTTAATATTATTTAAGCTGTTTTTATCCCAGTTTCTCCTGTTCAGGAAGTGTGGAGTGGCTCTCTGTTCAAAGGCTCCAGGTTTCTGAGTGAAATGGGTGTTTCTAATAGGTAAAGCTGAAACTGCCTAAAAACCAAGTATGGTTTGGCTTGGTTATTACTTTAGAGCCAGGAAAAGAATAGGCCAGGAAGAAGATGGAAGACATCATACTTACTCACAAGCTCTAACATTCACTGTTACACTTAGAAGTTGCAAAAGTCCCTTTTTGAGTGCAGGATATTTTATTTAAGCAGTTTAGCAGAGGCAACAAAACCCTCAATCGAGGTAGGAGAGGGGTACGCTCAGGCCTGACACTCAGTCCCATCCGGGCCATGACTGATGAAGCAGTGACCTCCAGCTCCTTACCACTCCGGACGGAGTTTTCACTTCTTGGACATCCATAACAGGAAACCGTGAGGATGCCGCTATGAGGCTTGATTTTTTTAATACCTTCTAGCTTGTCGATAAAGTGAAACCTAACCCTAGTCTTGATTAGGTCCGTAGTGACGTGGTGGATATGAACAGCTTAAAGTCATTTACAGAACCATCCAGGGCTTCGGTTACGCTCTCCGTGATGGCCCAAACCTTGGACTTTATGTTTAGGTGAAAAGTAAAAGCACTTAAAGGAAAACAATGTATTGTTGGATGTTTGTCAATCTGAATCTTTAGCCTTTGGCTTAAGCTGATCTGACATCATGCACAAAGACTCAGACCTTCGAATGGAGGCCATCTGGTAATTTCCAGTCTTGGTGTAAGGTGTCGAACTCCAGGCCTCAAGGGCCGGTGTCCTGCAGGGTTTAGATGTGTCCTTGATCCAACACAGCTGATTTAAATGTCTAAATTACCTCCTCAACATGTCCTGAAGTTCTCCAGAGGCCTGGTAATGAACTAATCATTTGATTCAGGTGTGTTGACCCAGGGTGAGATCTAAAACCTGCAGGACACCGGCCCTCGAGGCCTGGAGTTCTCCACCCCTGTTGTAAGGAGTTCATTGTCACTGCAAAGCAAGTTCTTGCAGAAGCAGGTCAGATATTCTGTGTCCTGTTTGCTGGATAAAAACACGAGGCTGAGACCAGAACGTTCCTGACGATGGACCGAGTGACCTTCACCTGAGACCGGCCTGCACTCCTCTGAGTGACCAAACCCAACCTGGACTCTAAACAGCCGGAGACTTGGTGCATGTTAGGAGGTTATTAGAAGCAGAAAGCCTGTCACTATAAAATGATCCGTAATATCCAGTTTGGACGACAGGAAACAGGAGGTCCGTCATCTGAGGAGAAGAGCGTCCCATGAAATATGGGAACATGTCAAACCCACATTAGTGCGTCTCACTCTGTCCTGACAGGCTCGCAGAGATCTGAATCATTTCCCACTCTGTCTTCATCAGCTCTTCGTGTGTGACAGCTGCGATTCTTGGCTGTGTCACAGATGTTCTCTCTTACATTTCTGTAGTAAAGGCGTCGGGAGGATGATGTTGGTTTAGATTTCAGAGCAGATTGATGGTTCAGCATCTTCCTGGTGTCACGGCCTTTTTGGCCAGTTGCTCCCAAAGACAGACGAGCTCAGACGCATGTGTGACTCACTTTAAACCTGTCGTTTCACCTCCAGCAGGCTGAATTTAACCTCCTAATATCCACCCATGACAACCTGTCTGTGATTAGGGTTAGTTTGATTAATGTCCAGCCATTTTTATATCATTTGTCCTTTCTTTTACCCAAATGGAACATAAAAGCTATATTTTTATCTAAAAATAAACACACACACACACACACACACACACACACACACACACACACACACACACACACACACACACACACA